GCAGCCATCGCCGCCGGGGCAAGGACGACGGAACGCGCTCGACGCTCCCGGGCCGGGCGCCGCCATTTCCGAGCGATCGGCTCGCCCAGGCGTCGATGTTTCGTGGATCCCGACGCGACCCGGAATGCGTGGGCTTCTAGAAACTGTTTCACGGTTGGCACGCTTGCGGCGAAGTCGGAACCGGTCCGACGGCATTCCTGCCGATCGCTCGACCGCTCGCGGCCCCGGTCCCTAACAGGAAAAACGCCGTTTCCCGATTTCTCGCTCCGCCGACGGAGTTTCGGCCGACACCCGAGCCTCGGCGACAGCCGTGTTTTGACGGGGACCGCGATGTCGACGGACGCTCGCGTACGTGACGCCCCGAACGCGTCCATCCGGTACCAAGAGGCGCCTGGCACGCCGTTTCCGTCGGTGTTTCGATTTTCTTACTGTTCTTCGTGGTTTCTGCAGGTTTTTATGTAGATGGTATTTATTCGTGGGTTTTTGTTGTACTGGTACTGATGCGTAACGGTATAGATAACCGTGTGTCATAGGATAACGAGGACACGGACTCGAGGAATGCTGATGTTAACGATAGATCTACTGACGTTTACTCCGTTGGTGGAACAATTGTTGTACGTTCGTTTAGATCTTAGGAATCGGAGGTTTGAGAGAATTAGGATACATTCGCATAATTGCGTTGATAGAAATTGACTCGAAGGTTTAGCAAATAATGCTTATAGAATTCAATGAGTGAAATCGACTCGTAGATCCATTGTTGAAATAGGGCAAAGGGAAATTGCGTTGATAAAATTGAACTCGAAGGTTTAGCAAATAATGCGTATAGAATTCAATGAGTGAAATCGACTCGTTCCCGTAGATCTAGCTTTGAAATAGGGCAAAGGGAAACTGCGTTGATAAAAATGAACTCGAACGTTTACTAAATAATGCTTATAGAATTCGATATGAGTGAAATCGAGTCGTTCCTTAGATCTAGCGTTGAAACAGTGATATCGACTTATTGTAGATCTAGCGTTGAAATAGGGCGAAGGGAAACGAAACGAAACAGTCGGCGTTCCCTCGGGTTCCAAGATGGCGAGTGTACTCGGAGTCAACTGGTCGAGTGGGTTCTCGTTCGTCACAGTTACGCGCGTTCGCAATGGGTCGTCGTTTTTATTACTTACGTCCATTCATTCGCGGAGCTCGAATGCAAATTGCAGAGCGTCGCTGGAATAATTAATTTCTTAGGATCAGAGTCGTTCGCATAGGAGCTGTCGAGTGTTATTAGTGTTATCTAACGTTCCACGCTTCGGTTCGCGGCGCGCGAACGATTCGGGGGACCGGAAGTGCGACTCGGGAATGGCGAACACTGGGTCGAAGCGACGAGAACGAAGAACGGCCGACGCGACATCGGTTTTCCCGTGGCAAACGGATCGAAGATTCGCCGCGATCGATCGAAACGCAACGCGCGTCGCGGCGCAAGGACGAGCGGTCCGTTCAACATGGAATCGCTCGAAACTAGTCCGTCTTTCGCCGCGATATCTGCGGATGACTCACGCCGCGTCTTTCCTTGTCTTTCTCTCTGTTTCTGCGGTTCTGCTCGTCACTCTTTCTCTGTTTTTTCTTTATCTCCTCCTTTGTGGCAACTTCTTGTCAGTTTTACCTTTAATTGTCGTTCCTCTGGTAGTAGGTTTATATTCGTTGTGGTGTAGTTTATTCTATTGTTCCTAGGAAAATCGTTGTTGGAAGGTGACTAGATGGAAGTTTAGATTTTAAAAGACACATTTAAATAGGAAGTTAGATCTTGGAAATGTTTATAAAACCGTAACACACTCAAATTAGATAGAACTTAGATCTCAGAAATATTTATACCGTTCTATGCGTTAAATTAAAGCGTCCTAAACCTATCGTTAACTTATACCTTTTCTATACTCATATCACTTCGTGCCCTTCCCAACTTCGACATAAACGCGAAGAACCGTTAATTTCGAAGATCGAAGACATTACTTACGATTTTCTTTTCTTAACTCTGATACATCCAAATTAGATGGAAGTTCAATCCTCAAAATATTTATAAAACCCTGACACACTCAAATTAAAAAGAACTTAGATCTCAGAAATATTTACAGAACCCTGACACACTCAAATTAAAAAGAACTTAGATCTTCAAAATGTTTACAAAACCCTGACACACTCAAATTAAATAGAACTTAGATCTCAGAAATATTTACAAAACCCTGACACACTCAAATTAAGTACAACTTAGACTTTCAAAATATTTCTAACATTCCATGCGTTAAATTATAGCGTCCAAAACCTATCAACACCTTTTCTATACTCAAATCACTTCGCGTCCCAACTTCGCCGCAAACTTTAAGAACCGTTAATCTCGAAGATCGAAGGCATTACTTTTAATTTTCTCGAGACCAGCGTTTCGAATGCGATCGATCGGATGGAACACAGTTTCAGGACGGACATGCCCGCCGTCGACGAGGTCCCGCTGGACAGGCGTTAAGAGAAGAGACGCTCGAGGAACGCGGGAGACGCTAGCGATCGGCGGCCCCCGAGTGGCAACATGAGGATCCTGGGCCTCGCCGTGGGCCTGTTGATCATGGGGCCGACGATCGAGGGAATGAACATGCCGGAGGTCGAATGCGGCGGCAAGTACTGCACCTCCAAAGAGTACTGCAACAAGTACAACAACCGATGCCAGTCGTGCTCCTCCATTTGCACCAACGGGAGCTCGAACTACCTGCCGAAGGAATGCGCGATTCACTGTCAAGGTAAGGGGGCGATTTTGCTCGGGGAGCCGGAGCTTTCGTCTCACGAATTCGAGGGTGACGTAACGGAAGAAACAGGTTTCCCACTAAAGGTCAATTTGTATTGCCGCTCGCAGGCGTCCCGTTGTTTTCCTCGTGAACTGTTTTAGTTGGGAGATTCTTCTTGAAAATGTTACGTACGAAACGCGACGAACGAATGGGGACGCGTGTGAATGTATTCGATGAGTAGGAGCGTTTGAGTCGATAGAAGCGAATGTGGTTGGGAAACGTTGGAGAAAGTACTGGCTTCTGAAATGATTACAGGTTTAGGAGCGATGGAAAGAGCTGTTCGATGGAGATCGAATTAGTTTAACGAAGATTTTTTGAAATATAGGAAATTGTCGGCAGATGAAGATGAATATTGTTTGGATCATTGGGAAAGGGAGATTACGCACTGATCTGCTTTAGTAATTAATTTTCGTGAAAAACGAAGCCACCAAAATTCGGCTGACGCGGTTAACACTAGGACTACCGAGCATCTAACCCTTTGAACTCTGTAGGCTCCAATATTGCACCAGTTATATTAAATATTTTAATGAATATTAAAGAAACTAGCCTAGAATTATTCGATTTTCCACACATCGAAATTTCCTATTGAGAAGGAAAATAAGGAAGAATTGTTATAGCATTTCTCATTTCTCATTAAAGCTGAATTATATATTGTTTAGATCATTGGGAAAGGGAAATTGATCTGCTGTTTTAGTAATTAAATCATTTGTTCGCGACTTGGCGTTGCAAATATGAATATCTCGACACATGTCGACGTTCGTCCGCAAATAGCTGAACGGAATATTATTCATGAATTGATAAGAATCAGGAAATATCAAGAGATTAGCTTAACTGCATCGGTTTCTGACTCATTTGTCGGGACGCTAACGATTCAGGCTCGAAAGCATAATTAAGCTCGGAACCTGTCGTTTCAGTCGGAGTCGGACCGAACCAATGATAAGCGCCCTTCACAATTCGAAATCCTCGTTTCAAATACTCGCTTCGCGAGTAACACTAGAAGTGCCAAGCAATCAAATCAGCTTATCTCCATATTACCATAAAACCTCTAAGAGTGTCCCTTAAAACGTCGATTGACCTATATTCCACTCAGCACACTATCAAATCAACTTACCCGAGCAATCGTAAAAACCAAGATCTCACCATAAAAAGCGAAGACCCACGCGTGTGTTCACCTGCACACGTGAGCAACGGTCTTCGACGCTTCGACTCCAAAGGGTGAAATTTCCGTGAAAAACGAAGTCACCAAAATTCGGCTAATTAACACTAGAACTACCGAGAGTTTAATACGATTAATATGCAATTCCCATAAAAATTGTAACAACAGATTATTTTCGGTTTCTTCAGACATTCATTATAGTACTGAAGTCAAAGCTATTTATTTTCAAGATCATTTCGAGTATTCAATGCTTTTAACACGTTGAACGCCGCACGATTTCATAGAGCAAAATACACAAAATGGAAAAAGTACAATATTAAATCATTCGACTGGATTATTACCATTGCACGTTCATCGAACTGAATGTCACCGCAATGGGTATTATTTATAATATAGAAATGTGTGCGAATAATCATTTCATTGAGTGAATTATTAAGATATCAATGCTTGCTAAACAAACAAACCGAAACCAGTCATTTTACTGTTACGTAGTTCCAGCGTAAAACTAATTGTTCAACGGTTCACGTGCAACACGCGTCAGATAGGAATCATCATCATCCTCGTGGCTCGGCGCGTTTCACGTGGCACGTGTAGACGTTTCTAGTTCACGTCGAAAATCGAAGCCCCGGTCGATCGGCAGCACGAAAAGCAGACTTGCTCGGGGTCGACCCGAAGACGCGCAGGTAGTGGGCCAAGCGTTTTCCGAGTGCCGTACGGAAGGTGGCCGCGAGTCCGTTGACTTTACACCTGACCACCGTCCCTCTAACGACTTCCCATCACGCGAACGCGTTCGATGACTCACCGTGCGCCTGTTCCTCCCCTGCCCGCCCGTTCGCTCGCCTGCACGCCAACCTTTTCTTTCCTCGGTCCTCTCCCTTTCCCCCGTCTTCCCGCAACCGATATCCTGGTTACAAGCTTCTCTCCTCTCCTTTCTCCCTTTCTCCCTTTCCCCGCCAGGAGAAAGAGCCGCAGTCGGACCTGGCCACCTAAAGGCCCCTGCACACGCTGAAACTTGTTGCGATGCGTCGACCCCTGGGCTCCCTGCGACCTGCGACAGCGTCGCTTCGCCGCCGACGGTTATTTTCAGTTTGACACCAGTTGCGTTCGATTGCACTCTAACGTGTTAACGAATCCGATCAGTTGGATTTTCTGTTTCTACATTCGGAATTCAGATAGTCTGTCGCTTGTTTTCCTTTGAACTTGGCATTTATCTAATTCCTGAGTCGATGCTTGTTTCCTTTTTAAATTTGAAATTTCGCTAATTCCTTGGTTGTTGCTTGTTCTTAGTCATTGTTATTTTCAGTTTGACACCAGTTGCGTTCGATGTGCACTCTAACGTGTTGACGAATCCGATCAGCCGGATTTCCAATTTCTACATTCGGAATTCAGTTAGTCTGTCGCTTGTTTTCCTTCGGAACTCGGCATTTACCTAATTCCCGAGTCGATGCTTCCTTTTTAAATTTGAAATTGCGCTAATTCCTCGGTTGTTGCTTATTCTGTTTACTTTGACGTTTGGCCAGCCTTTCGGTTTGAAGTTTCACGTGTCCCTTAACCAGTTAAGTGTTTAAACAAAGCTGTTTTATTCCAATGCTTCACGTATCGAGGCATTATACAAAGTTTAACATTAAATACGACATTCTATAGTTTTATCGTGTCAAATCAAGTAGTTCGTCTTGGACAGCCATAAGATCGATTCACGGTTTCATTTGCAGAGTACCTGCTCGACCTGCGATACGTGCTCATGGAGGAGTACAAGAATCTACAAAGTAAGTAAACGCCTTTGGTATTTCTCTTATCAGTTGCTCTTATTAACCCTAATCGGACCACGATGTGATTTTAAGCATTTGAACTATCCTTCAATTTTTTGATTATTTCATCTCGCATTTCCAAAAGTCTGTTCCAACCACTTGTGGTGGCAACAAATTCAGAAGTCGCCGGCGCTCAATGTGTTAATCATTCCGTTTACTCTCGCAAGTGACTGAGAGTCACAGATGATTCATTATAAAACCACGTGGTGCAATTAGGGTTGAAGCCTTTGCTTCAGTAGTCACCGATAGCAATCGCTACCGAGATTTCTCATATCCGAATCGACAGACGAAGTCGGGAGGCTGTCGATCCTCGCCATGGTCGCCATCGCGGTGGCCCTGCTCTCGCTGTCGACAATGGCGTACCTGCTCGCGAGCAGCCTGTTCAAATGGAGAACCATGCGAGGCGCCTTCCGCGGCACGTTTCCCGCCACCTGGCTAAAGGTGAGTCCACCCGAAACTAAACTCGCTTCGCGCCGCTAACTCGTCCACCTTTCCAGAACAACACCGGGAACAAGAACAACAACAACAACCTGGAGAACAACAACAAGTCGTCGGACGACGTCGAAGCGGCCGCGTGCAGGCGGAACGGTCCGAGGCTCGCGATGCCGACGATCAGCGCGACCGTGGCTCCCGCCCGGATTCCGGTGAACGGGAAGGAAAACGGAAGCGGCGCCGGAAATGGAAACGGCCAGGGCCGCGGGCAGCCGCGGGAGAACGCCGGCACCTGTGACGCAATCGATAACGACACGCCGAACACGACCAGCACGTCGCTGTCCGGCAGACACCCGAGCGAAGACACCACTCTGGACTACGCTTACGACAATCCCGCGATGACGCCCAGCCCTGAGTCCGTGCAGATCAGGACCAACCGCGAGAGCTCGTTTTAGTTTGATACCAGAAGAGACATGAACTGATGTTGGTGTGGACCTCTGACGAAGGTGTTAGAAGGGCTTTGGAATTTTTCAATTGCATTGCGTACTGGTAATGAGAAATCTCGTTTTTATATGAAGACTCTTAGCTATATAACTTTGATACCACAGCGTTTAAGGGAATATTAAATTTGATTAATTGTCCATTTAACACTAGAACTATCGTGTATTTAATACGATTAATGTATGATCCCCATAAAAATTGTAACTAGATTATTTTCTGTTTCTTCGGACACTCATTATAGTAGTCAAGTGAAACTATTGATTTTCAATTTAATTGTTTGATAATTAGCCAGTACGCAATGTGTTAAAATTATTGTCCCAGTTTAGTATGTGAATTGACTATTCGAGTTTTTTTAGTAAGGATTTTAAGATGAAGTGTAGGAAATGCCCAAGATTCAATTGAGGACATATTTGGGGAAATTTTAAGTGCAAGTTTCAGGTGTCTCTTGAGACCTTTGGTAGAATTAGTGCTAATTAATTCGAGTGAAGAGCGAGAGCTCGTTTTAATTTGCTACCAGAAGAGACATGAACTGAGTTCTTAACACTATTTCTGACGACGGTGTTAAAGACAGCTTTGGAATTTTTCAATTAAAATTACTGTCCGAGTTTCCTTCCTTTTCAGGAGCGATGATAAAATTCATTACAGGAAATGTCCAAAATTCAATTGACAGATAATTTAGGAAAATAATTTTAAGTGAAAATTTCAAATGTCTTGACACCTTCGTTAGAAACGGTGTTAACCGATTCGAGTGAAGACTTTTACCCGGTTTTCGTGTAAGACCGGCTTATCAAAGACCGTCGCGTTCACGAGCGTGTGATAGTGATATATTGATACTTTCGCGACACACGGTTAAGGATCATAACGCTGTTAATCAGAAATCAGGAATAAGTTCGTTTGCAATTAGTGTACGTCGTTATGATCCTTAATCCGTATCGCTGACATCAACGCGTTGACTGCCACGAGTTGTCTCATACGATCATGAAACGTTTCATTCGATCCTTATCATTCGTCTCGAAGGAATCCACGAGTGCCGGTCACCGGTGGCCGTCAACGCGTCGAACACGGCGTCGGCCAGCGGGACCGACGACCGGCAGCGATATCGAATTGTACATAGCGTATGTTTAAGTACTTAATCGCGTGCGCGCGAGCGCAAGCGCTACCGTTTCTACATCCTTATCAGTTCCGTCCATGGAAGGCCTTTGGAGCGAAGGTACGCGGCCTCGGGCAACGGGGTCGCGCTTCGCATAGGTCGGCGACGTTCACGCGCGAGTCCAGATCGATAATCGAGTCGGAGCTGGTCGACTGGTTCATTCTGAATGCACACGGTTCGCAACTAAATGCAGCTGCGGTTCTTTCAGAAGAATAGAATTCTTTGTCTTTGTTCTCTTTCGTCTTGCATTTTTATTCTTCCAAAAGAATCATGCGTCATTTAGCTTACCTACAGCTAGTGCAAGGAAATGACTACACGACAATGTTGTCCTTAACCGAAAAAGTTAACACATTGAGCGCTGGTCTCGAAAACGCGGGATTCTGAGTCTACCGCTTGAGCGCCGCAATAATGATTTCTGAATGTCCATTTCTGGATTCGACGAATATGCAATTAACACTAGGTTTACGAAACGCGTCGAATTGACGCACATTGGATTTTAGAAATATTATTTTGCAAATGTTTACGCCGATGATTGATGTCATCACACTGACATGTACCCGAATTACCATCAAATCTCCAATCTCCATAATCTAAATGAACAAGCATCAATTCTTTTAGGAATAGAATGAAGTGTACAATAACTGCCCGTGAACCTAGTGTTAAAATGTACTATTTTAACCGATACATTGCTCAGACTTTAAATGTCTCTTAAGTCAGCGCTCAATGTGTTAACAAACAGAATGCAAGGAAGCGAGATACAAGGCACGCGCGGCTCGCTCAACTCGGCTGCTCAATCAACTTAGGTTTCCTAGCGTCTTTCGGAAGCCGGCGTGCTCGTCGTTCCTCGCTCCTCGAGTTCCGCGTCCGAGTCGACGGTAGCTCGCGCGGACTTCGCCGACCTTAGCATAAGTTTCTCTTAGATATTTCTTTGATGACGAAGCGCACTCGAGTTCGCACCCGACCTAACCGTAGATCGACGTCGATCGTTCGTTTTCTCGATCTCGATGTGACATGGTCGATGTCTTCCAGCGTTTCAGTTCGATCCGCGTTCCTCCCGCCATTTTGAGTACTCGGCGGACGTTGTTTGTGGAGACGAACCGAACGATTCTCTTACCGTTGGTTAACCTGTCGTAGGTATTGTTCAGTTTAAGCCACGTTCTTTGTTGTCGGTTGCGTAGCCTCTGTTGCGATCATGATAGAAATTATAGAAATACACCATCGCGCACTTTGCATCCAACGCAGTCTTTCTTTTGTACTGACTTCTCCCACAATTATCTTGACTTCGATAAGGATGACGCTCAGGTTGAAGCGGGGATGGACAATCGGGAGCCGCTTAAATCTGGAGACCGGATCGCCCGGCTGGCGGGCGCAGCCGAGCAACAGGGGAAAGCTTCCGGCGGAATCGCCGCTGTCGGATTCGAGGAGCCCTGCGGTCTGGACATCACCAGCTCCCTGGTGTTCTTCTCAGGCTTGATCAGCACCACGTAGACCTTCGGCAGGAACAGGCAGAGCAGCTGGACCAGTCCGTTCAGAGACAGGGAGAGCGCTAATGTGATCACTCTGACCACGTTGTTCACGGAGGCGAGGTACAGGGGCACGAAGGCGAGCCACAGGACGATCGTCGCGTAATTCGCGAACCCGATGCGGCGAGTCTCGTTGAATCCCTCGGGACACTTCCTGGTCTTCACTGCGTAGAACGTGGACGCCACTGTAACAAGAGCGATAAGATCTTGAATGGATCGATATTTAGTGGTAGGTCGCTGAAGTACTGTAGGATTAACTCCACTCGAAAGTTTTTCACTTGAAGTGTTCTACACTTTCTGATTAGATGTAGACGAGATTCTTTAAAATGAATTTAACTAGAAATCATACATAAATTACCAAAGCTATTTTATTTCGATATTTCACGTATTGACGCAGTATACAAAGGTCAATGGTAAATATCAAAGTTTATAATTTTGCTGTATCAAATCATCTGACGAGGAGTCGCCTCTCGAGTGCAAAGGGTTAATTTGTTGAAAATCAAAATCAATATTCTGCTAATATGACTTTCGTTAGTCACATTCAGTTAACCAACGTCCGAACATTCGAAGAACTAACGAAAGAAAATGACTCTCAGAAGTCAATGTTAAGTCGATTTCTCGATACTTTCCAATTTGCCCGCACAACGATCCATTCACCCCACACTCGGTCACTCATTCGGAAGAACCCTACGCATGGCAACTTACTCGTCAACAGGAACGGGTACGCTAAGCCGATCACGTACGATCCGTTCTCGGATCCGCGGCAGATCCTGATGTTCGCTTCCCTGCTGGGATAGGAGCTGGTCACGGCGGGCGGCTCCTTCAGCAGCCACACGACGTCGAACGCGATCTCCACGAGCGTGAGTACCGAGGCGATCGTCAGTTGCGATCTAGGGCTGGTGTACCTGCAAGAAACAGCGTCGATTTTAGCGATGGAACCACGGTGGCCGTTGGGGTGACTCATGTAGAATTCTTACAAAACGAAACGAACGGTCACGGCACGCGATTCACGGCCCGCGGTTCACTACTCGCGATCGTACCGTCGCTTTCGCGGGCTTGGGCCGGGATCGTTGAATATCCGGTGGATCCTGTTGATCTTCGTTGCCAGCGCAGCGTAGCACAGGGTGTAGCAGAATCCGATGCCGAAGCGAACGACGGCGCAGCTCGCGACGCTCGGCTTCGCCACGACCGGGAACGTCATCGAGAAACAACCGAACGCGCCGATCAGCAGTAGGAAACACAACTCCCGTCCGGAGGCCTTGATCATCGGTGTCTCGCGGTACCGCCAAAACACCGCGGAAACGAACAAGGTCAACGACATGCCTGCGAACGCACAGAACGGAGTCATTCGCGACGAACGCCGGCCGCGGGGAGCCGAGGGCTTACCGAGAACGGCCACCGAAATGGCGGCGATCGCCCATGGATTCGAGTAGTCGACGAACTCCTCGGGAATCGGCTCGCAGCTGGTCCCGTTCCCCGTCGGACGAGTGCCCCAGTCGCAGTCCTCGCATCTGTGCTCGTCCACCCGGTACCGGTACAGGCCGCAGCTCTGGCAACGCCAGCAGCAAGGATCCTCTTTCGCTCTGACCTACGGACGTTTGGAGGTTAACGCTTTGCAGTCGAAAGGTGACTTCCTGTCACCGCTTGATTTGATATGGCAGAACTATGAAGTTGGATATTTAGGTTTCATCGGTTTTCTCGATTCTTCGGCTTCTTTTCTAGACTTAGCACTAGAATTACCGAGGATTTAACACTAGAACTACCGATCAGTAAAATCGAAGTTTTCCAATTTTTCTGAACTCTCAGACAACAGTTATTGAGATTTCTTCGGTAATTTAGCAAAGAAGCATCTAGTCTCTTCTCAATGATTGTAACAGAATAATTCGGTAGTTCTAGTGTTGACCTTTGGCACTCGATTGGTGACTCTCAGTCACCACTTGATTTCATACAGCAAAGCTCTGAAGAATATTTAGTGTTTCCAATGAAACTTAATTCGAAGCAACTGGAGGTTTCCAAGGTATTCGAAAGCTGAAGTTGGTCTTGATCAATTATCCTCCCTATGCTCACCATGATTCTATCGGGATCACACGGTCTGGAACAAGAGGAAGCCGGAAACGCGGCCTCCCCGTGTCCGCGGAACCTCATCTTGCTACGGTCTAGGCGAAGCTCCGCTCGTCCTTGCTCGTTCACTGTGATCGACACAACAGACACAATAAATTTGTTTAAACGACTGTCATTATTTGTTGAGTTAGCTACGACTTACGCGTGTAATTTCCAACGACCAACCACTGGTACGAGCCGTTCGATGTTCGCCGGAAGTTCAGGATAGAGTACCTGGGTGGCCCGTCGACTTCGTCTACGAATCCGAATTCGTGGTCCGCTTCGTCTGGAACGATCGAATTTTAGGCATTCTATACAATATTCCTTATTCCTTTATAACAATGGCAAAGCTTATAGTAACCCATTCACTGCTAGCATAAAATGTGTGATTTCATTTGTACTTCCAATTTATTTTGCTTTATATTGCGATGCTTTTCAAATACAACCAAGATCGTACCAAACTGGCAATCTCTTGCTAGTATATTCGTGACTGGCAGTGAATGGGTTAATTAATTTGTTTAAGAATCTAAAGCGTCTGTCTCGCTCCTTCTCACTACAATACTCCGCGTCTCCTTGCCGCAGTTGTCCCATCAGTTCGAAGTGAAGTAAAAAAATGTCTGTAGACAGCAGTTAGCACCCACCTTTGAAAGACACTTTAGTCAGGTAACCGGAGAAAGTCTTTCCGTCCATGGACCGCATTCGATCGCAAACGCCGACGTAACTCTCGCCGCACACGTCCCTCTGCGCGTCGTGCAGAGCGTACGCCACTGCATAAACCGCGTCTCGAACGAAATGCAGGAACCGCCGTTGCTTGTAGCCGTTGCTTCGGTCGATCCTGAGGCTTGGATCCGTGCAGCCGACCCGTCGCTGAAATCATTCGCCAATTACCACAGCATTGAAATACAAAATTTCATTCGAACTGATCATCTATTTAAAATATATCACATAACAATATATCTGTTTCTCTATATATACCGATATAAATTGACCTCGAAAATTGCCATCCGCACAATTCAGTTTTCTAAAAATTACCAATACGCAATGTGTTAATTTCAAGCTGATCCTAGAAACCAGACATTCGCATATACCTCAACCTAATACAACACTGAATCCTTCAAAACCTCTCACCTCGCGAGCAGCCAGTTCCGTCTGGTTCGCGCAGCCGTGGTACTTGAACCAGAACTCGCGGAACCAAGGATTCGACCTCTCGTGCTCAAGGGTCAAGCCCGTGAAGTACTCGTCGAAGCCCGAGAGCCGAGCGTACAGGGGTTGCACGGCGAGCGCGCCCTCCAGCACTCTGTTCTCTTCGTCCTTCCGGTCCGGCCAGGAGTCGCTGCCGATCCAGACGAACCTCGAGTCGAGGCCGAGCCTCTTCGCCGCCTCCAGGACGCGGAAGGTCGTCGACTTCTCGGCGAACAGCACCACCACTGAAATCGACGCGCGACTCAACGTTCGTTTCAAATGTTTCAAATTTCAAATGTTCGAAATCGAAGCGTGACGCGGGAACGCGATTTACCTCGGACATCGGTCTTGTCGGCGATCGCGCGGACCACGTTGTCGTAATCTTCGGCCGCGAAGCGTTCCTCTTTGATCCGGTGCGGAGTGGTGAAGCAAACGGAGTACTCGGCTGCCAACGAGGCGATCGTCTCGTAGCCGTGGTCGCCGTACTCCGAATCCGAGTAGACGATCGAGGCGTACGTCCACTCGAACTGCCTGCGTGTAGCGAACTTTCAACCCTTTGCACTCCGCAAGTTTTTCACCGAGAATATTCAATATTTTCTAATGAGATACAGACGACGTTTTCTTTGATCGAATTAAGAAATCTCACATGCATCGAGGAGAACTATTTTCTTTCAATATTTCGTACATTGATGCGTTCGCAGATGCGTTATACGTTAGTAATTGATCTCGTTAAGGTGTCAACATTTTAACTTATTAACGTATTGAGTCTTAACCCATTGCCCCGCGATTTCTCTTGCAATCGAACGTACGCACCGAAGTATCTCGAGCATGGCGCGCGCTTGGTTCACGTCGCTCGGTACCGTGCGAAAGAACTGCGGAAACCTCTCCTTGCTGCTCAAGAACGGCGAGGTGGCCATGTAAGAGATCTGCGGCATCGAGAACAGCGCCAGAACCGATGCTACCTGCAGACCCAACGTCGACGATCGAATCGAAACCTTCCACACTCTAAAGTCCCTCGTACACGTTGAGCTTTTCACTGTCCGTTTGACAATTTCTTTCGAATGAAACACTATACATGTTACGGCACATGTGTAGACATGAGAAACTCTCATAAGATGATAAATGATATTGCTATAATGAAACACAGGTTATTTGGAGATTATAGTTCAAAGGAAAACGAAGAAAAACGGAGGAAAAAGAATTCCAACCTAACCAAAGGAATTTCTACCACTTGTTGTAGTAGGTTAATCGTGCTGTTATGGTAATACAAACTTAACACTCAGTTCCTTCGAAACGAAGGACCATTGTCAGAAAAGCCATAGAGCTTTTTCATTTCTATTAGGTTGTAACATAGGAAATGCCCGGTTTTTGGGATTAGCTTGAAATTAACAGAAATTCTTTCGTAATCTATATTTTTAATCATAATAAGAAGCATCGGATTCTTTACTAGATAGATATGTCAAAAAATTGCAGTGTTCTTCGTTAAAACAGAAGTTAAAATACCGATCAGCTAAAATCGGACATTTCCCATGTTACAACTAAATCATAAAACTCTAAGAGACTCGATGTCGCTAGCAACGATGCTGGGAAATCGCCGAAAATTTCAACGTTAGACATAAAATATATCCAAAACTTTCAATTCTCTTTAAACAGAACTTAAAGTACCGATCAACCAAAATCGGACATTCCATGTCACAATCAAATCACGAAACTCTAAGAGACTCGATGTCGCTAGTAACGATGCCGGGAAATCGCCGGAAATGTCAACGTGTACGGGTCCTTTCACCGACGCTTCACCTGAATGGTAACGGAGCTCGATTGCGCGCCGAGCACCGCGATCACGTCGTCGAATCCTCCGTTCATAAACTTCGGCGTGCTGCTGTCCTCGCACCGGTAGTCATGCTCGCCGCGCCGAGCGCCGCTCGCGATCAGACCTGCCGGGGAAATCGTTTTCGATCGACTGTAGCTTGACGTTTCCCGGATGAACCGTGACTTCGTTCGACACGACGAGGACCATCGTTTACAGGCGATGATCGACCGTAACTTTCGAAACGGGATTACCTTTCACGAAATAGAACGCCTGCTGCAACGCGTAGCCGGGGTTGTCGCAGGTGTCAAAGGCCAAAGCGCCGAGATGAATGCCTGGGAGGATCGTGGGATCATCGTTGATGCGTCCGACGGTGTACAGCATAGCTTCCAGGGGCTGGATGCCGTCCTCTATCTACAGCGAAGCGGGAGAACTTCCGATCGTTATCGTTATCAACGATTTTCTGCTCTTGGTTTCTCACTTCGAGGTTCACGTTAGTTCATTCGATTACAGCTTAACGTGACGCTCCATTTATTTATTCAAGAATACTCGGGAGTCATTGAAATGTTACCTTTGAATGGTACAATTGTGATGCTACAAATAAATATAGAAAAAATCGATGCAGAATTTTTCAGCGGGAAATCGTTTTGGAAGAGATTTTCATCCGAATGAGTAGACAACTTTACATTAAATGAAGGCAAAGAACTTCCTGGTAGAGTTAGGTCGAGTTCAGTCGGTTAGTTGTTAGAGATCAAGGCAACTGATCGACAATACTGAAGTGTAACGATGACACTGAAACTACCAGACGGGTCAAAATGACTAATTTCTTCGTTTTGCAGTTATTAACCCCTTGCCGTACAATGACGAGTGAGACTCGTGAGGAAATTTCGGGATTAGTTTAATAAACATGAATATTGTTGGATCAAAGCAGAAAGCTATTTTGTTTATATCAATATATTATCTTGAAAGAAAGTTTGTATAAGTGCAGTGGACAATTTCTCTGCGTTTTTTCTAAACTGCTGATAGAACCATTTTGCACTTAGTAGCAAAAGTAAATAATACGGCAAGGAATTAACCCTTTGCAGTTGGAAGTTTCTCACTAGAAATGTTCAACATTTTTTGAGAAGACAATTGATGAACAATATTTTATCCCATTTCAAGGTCAAAGCATTACACAAAGTTCAAAATTAAATAACAGATTCCATAGTTTCGCGTCAAATCAAGTGACTGAGTCACCTTCCGAGTGCAAAGGGTTGAAGAGATAATAGACGTTTTTCATAAATTATTAAAGGAACTAACGTAGCAACGCGCAAACTGAATTGCAAATGAACTGAAGTCTGAGTAGATGCATTCTCGCAGTTTCTACCGCGGAATTTCAACAAGTCAATTTAACTGGTAGTAGTGTTAGGTTCGCCACTTTCGCGGCCTGGATTACTGAAACTCGGCTTTCGGATTTCAGCCGTCTCGGAAACTGTCCCTGACGTGTCATCACGGAATCCGATCCCCTAATGAGGGACACTATCCTCCCGAGCTCCGACAGCTAAGTTTAACATAAGATCCTTAACCCTTCTACGCGGGATCGCAGGTCGAGCTGCGCTGATACTGATAATTTGAGAAAATCCACTGTTTAGAATATATTGAATACTTCCGAAAGTAATATTAAAATTCGAACAAGACTCTAAAGACTTTTAATATAACAAGGACTATTGATCAAGGGATTTCATAAATGGCAATAGAAGCGTCGCTTGTAATTCGCTTAGACGTCGCGCAGAAGGCATTTCCAAATTTCACCGGAAGTAGCTTGAAGCGCTACTCGTTAACCCTTTGCGGTCCGAAGTCTCTTAATACGACGCTCTATTTATTCAAGAATATTCGGGAGTCCTTGAAACGTTACCTTTAAATGGTACAATTGTACTACAAATAAATATAGAAAAAATCGTTAAAAGGTAGGACTGCTAAGGGTTAACGAACTCGACACCTCCACCCTCCCAAAACGATCGGCAACTGGAGAGACCGGGCACCGAGTCTTACTTGAATCTCGCCGCAGCTCTGTCCTCCGCTGCCTCTTCGGTGCACAGGGAACAGTCCGCCCAAAACAAAGTCTCCGGTCAGGTTCGCGTAAGTGACCCGCGCTTTTTCAACCGTCGACGACGTCCCGACGACGAGGAACAGAAGGCCGACCTTGATCGCCGCGAAGATCATCCTCGAGCCGCGGCGTCTCTCGACGGAAGCTCCGAATCGTGGAAGCTCGCGACGACGCGGGACAATGACAACTGAAGAGACACGCGAGGAGGAGACACGCGTACCGCGCAAGCCGCCCCCTGAGCATCAAACGCGACCCCTTTCCCATGGGCACCTCGTGGGAGTGGTCGTTCTCGGTTTTCGTCAAAGGAGCTCGCGGACGAGCATCCCCCTCGGGGATCGGAACAAATGGAAATCGATCGCGGAAAGAACCGCTCCGCGGCGCCGAGAGTGTAACGAAACGCGAGGCAAGGTAAACGAATCGGTCCCGAGTAAACAGGGGCACGGAAAGAGCAATTTCGTTAAACGCTTGATCGCCTGTCACGCTCCATCTGTCACGCGCCGCGGATTCGAGGACGAGAACCGCGCCGCTCCGGCCCGGCCCGGCCCGGCCCGATCA